TAGTTCCAACACACCTGCCTTAGAGACCCCTCTATCTGACAGGCTGCACTGAGCTCCAATCAATCCACCCTTGAATGCCTCTAGGGAGCATTGCTAAAGGCTCATTATTAATTTATACGTATGTTTTCTACCAGATTTGAAAGAAGACAAAGTAGTGAAGCAGCAAAACCACAAATCATGTTATTTTGTTGAGTTTATTCAAGAAAAGGGAAAAGATAGATCTTCAGTTACTACTTTTTCAAAGTTTAGCAGTAGAGAGTTTCAGAACTGTACAAGTTTTGCAGTAATAACCCATTTCCATTCACATTCACAATAAATTAAACAATTAAAACAATTTCATCTGGATGGATGATACAAATTCTCCAGGCTGTCAGCCTTAGTTCATTGGCTTTTTAAAGTCATTTTTAAAATATGAACAGAAAACCTGTCCTTATTAGAATGGAAACTAAAGGATAGCAAAACTTCAGAAAAAAGTATTACTTAACTGGGATCTCATTTTAAGTCATAGCCAATCTAAACTAATTCAATTAACATCACTGGCAGGAAGCAAAGTTAGTAAATCAAAATGCGCCCTAGTCTGCAAAGCCTGAATTCTGTCACTGATGGCTTCTCTCATAAGAAATAAGGAGAAAAGGGGTGGAGAAACTTATGACATAGATCCCATACAAAAGGCTATACCAAAAGTGCAGCACTTCTCTTCCATGCCAACCCTACACCAGCCTCCAGTTAGGACCATGAAATGATGTAACAGCATGCTGGCAAACAGAACAAACAAGACAAAATAAGAAACCATGAATGCAATCCCCAGACCCCAGTGTGTGCCCCCTGCTCTTCTCCTCTGCCCAACAGAGTCTTCAAACACATTCCCACACAGTGGCACAGCTTCACCCAGTTTGCAGCTGATATGAAGATATGAACAAAGCAGGGGAAGGAGCCAACCCTTTGACAGCAATTTTCTGTAGGAATGATCCCACCATCTTCATCAAGTCACTGCTTTAAGGAGAGTTATCTTGCACACACTCCTGGCACTTTCAGCACCATCTCCTCTCCTACAGCTGTCTGAAATGTAATGAGCTCTGTCTGCAAACAGCAATTTTCTGAAGACGCAGTTAAGTATTTTGGTAATGATTTAACCATTCTCTAGCACCAGACCATTCTATAGCATGCAGCTGGTTTGCACTGGGCTTGTTCCCACATACCTTGTGTGTCCTTGCCACAAAAACAAGCATCCAAAAGCTTAGGACTGTGGTGTCCAACAGATTGGATATACTTCGAAGCCTCATTTTGACATCAGCTAGAAAACTGAGTTTTTAATAAATTCTCTTAATAGTCTCCAACTATATGAAAAATATTTTCCAAAGTATTATATAACTATTATATAATATTTATCCCTATGTAAATACAACTGTATAATACGATATATTTCTACTTCACTTATTAATAGAAAAAAAGTAACTTGGATACCATCCTACAGAAAGTGTAAGAAAAGACAAAGGCAGCATATACCTATCCATGTCAAATAAATTGAAGGAATATGCCTCTGTCTAATACAATTATACCTTTGAGATCTTCAGCATATGGCCACGCTTATTAAGATAACAATTTTTATTTCTGATTTTTAAATGTATATTTAAAGCTAAAGCTTGCATTCCTGTGACTCCTGGGACAGTAGCTGGGTAGCAAATACTAACACAAGGGGAGTCTTTCTGTCTTGTTTCCTGAAACCAGTGTGGAAATGAACTGTCTAGAATTGTTTTCACGAAATATTTTATTCAAAGATTTAACTATAGGCAAAACAGTCACTCAGAAACAAATGACAAAATAATAGTAAGATTTTAGAGGTGAAAAAGATACAAGAGCTGACCTGGTCAGCTCTCTCTAGTTTACAACCTAGGTTGGGTTCTCTCTGGGCTTTTTTTTTCACTTCAGCTTTAAGTGGCTCAACTACAGCATTACCATTGTTTCCACTGAAGTGATTCCACAGTTCACCTCCTTACCAGGAATGCCTGCAGATATTCAAACAACCAGCTCCTGTGCTCAGATTCTTCTCAGTTACCTCTCCCAGGTACCCCATCCATCATGTCAGCACTGCTCTGGCACTGTATTTCATTCTCAGTTAGATTGGACAGGTTTTGGTCCATGTTACAGAAAAATCCAAGCACACACAAAACGTGACCAGCTGATGCCTGCATGCCTTTGGGAGCTCAGGTTACTTCTACCTGACTCAAATGCACATTTGCTTTTGATTATTAGTTAACTCAGCTAGTTCTCTTTGGTTTTCTTCTTACAAAATCACTGACTTAAAAGTCTAATCTGTGACTTAAAACAGTTTTCCTTTTTAAATTTAATCTTCTCACTTTGTCTCATTACAGTTTTTTTTTTGGACTGCATACTGTATTCTGTGTAGTCTAATACTGTTATCTGGAAATCGTGGGTTACCAATTATGATGTCTTTAAATATATAGTGTAAAAGATAGTGAGGATACTACTATTTTTTAATCATATTTTAACTTTGTAACTTACTTTTTGTCCACATTCCCTCTTAGATCTCTTCCAATAATTTAGTATCTATTTCCACAGAATATTTATTTGTCTTTGAGACTTTTTTTCTCGCAGGTACCTATTTCCTTTTTATTCTCTTCATATTAAATTGCATATTTTGATTTCCAGGCTATACTGCTAGTAGGTCTTGATCACTCCTTTATCTTTTCTCACCAATATTTGAAGTCTTTCCAAATGCAGTAACTTGAACTAGCTGTTTCATTTGCTGTCTCCAAATAATTAGAAAATAAGTACTTCCAGATTATTAACTCTGTGTTCAAAGAACTAAATAAACTTCCTTAAAATGATGAATGTGTGCAACTAAATATACATTTTTGAGGAACAAATGTTAATTTGAGAATTTATTAGAGCATTAAAATGCTTACTGTTTTGTTCAGCTTTAGGTGAATGCATCATATGAGACTTGAGGCTTCAGATTTCTCTGATCTTTAACATTCTCTGTAATTAAAGCTAGTTAAAATGCTTGAAGCAGCAAAACCATAGGGATGAAAACAGACAAAGAACAGATCGAAGTCAGGTACAAAACTCAAAACATACAAAATGTTAAGCATTAATGAGCAATTCTAATTTTCTGTATGATAGGCCCAATCTGTTTGTTTCGGTAGTTCATATGTACAGGAGCTGATTCATTTAGGAGACACGATTGGTGAGTAACAGGTACCTGAACAATTGGGAGTTCACATGATGGGGCTCAATATGTGACTTATAGTTCATACAGTGGCTTTTGTTTTGGATGGTGTTATGGCCTACATTCCTGCAGGTACTTGAAGATATATTATTTTGAAAACACAATGCTTTAAACCCAATCTAAGAAATTAAACGTTTGTGTTAAATACGGCACGCTATGTTTATGTGTGCACAGAATGTGAACGTGCCTGCATACTGTATGTTATTAGCAAAACGTGCTCAGATGGCTGACTTTCATTTACAATAACTGGCATATCTTTTTCTTTTTCAGTGGTAGTTGTTTTGCAGATATTGAAAGACAGGAACAAATCTAATGAATATTTGTAGGCAAAATACTTCAAAATATCGTACTTCCAAAGTGACAGAAATATTTAATTTCATGAATGCATTCCATTTATGTTCAAGATGGGATATTTCACTGGGAGAATGTACGTCTTTCAGCATCATCTATCAACAGCGTTTAGAATAGGTGTGGTATCTTTTGAATGCAGCATTTAGCAGTCGCCACTTGTCATTAAATGTAACTGTACGTTCAGGAGGTTTGTAATAACAGCCTTTAATTAAACTGGGGACTGTTAGAGGGATTCTGTTGCCCTTTGATGTTCTTAATTGTTAGTTGTATCCAGCCTTTTATGGCGCATTAAGGTTAAATTAAATAATTAAAACATACCTCCAAGACAAATACAAAGACTTTACATGTTTTAATTGAATTTCTGAATTTCAAGGTGTTTAAAATAATAACGTATGTTTTATTTCCTTATGATGACTTACTAGAATGCGACATACACTAAATTAAAAATTGGTAGGTTTATATGAGAATAATCACTAAGCATGACGCATGTAAATGAGCTATTTTCTATGCATGGCTGGCAAAAGTGCTAATTAAATAGTTGGTATTCAAGACTATGCTCGTTCATTGTTTAGTGACATACAAATCCAGCAATGTGGGCCAGCAGACATTTTAAGTTGAATGTTTTCTCCTTTACGCTCTTTGTCGTGAAATGGTGGCACCATGAGAACACTAGTGTAAGCAAAACACTGAAATATGTTTTAATAATGTTTGAGCCATGTAGCGACACTAGTCGAGTTTTCTAATGAATTTTTAATTTCTTTCTTCTCATAAGGATGTTACATTGCTCATGCATATTAAATCATATACACGAGTCATTTTCTCACCAAATTTGCATAAAATGGCTACATGCTAATGTACCAAATGGGGCTTACTATATATGGCACAGCAAATACGCCCTTGCAGGCTTTCTGCAATCAATCTCCTGTATTTCATTAGCAGCTAGATAAAGGTCTGCCTTGAAAAGGGAAGAGTAAAACTATTGTGTAAAGACGGGGAACTTCCAACACTGACGATGATTCCTATGCAATGAGTAGAACCCAATCCAGAATTAGAATTTGCACATGAAGGAAAATAAAGTTCCTTGACACGTGCACTTAAATGGCCTCCCTGAAAGCAGCCAAGTGCTGCTAATAACCACCAGGCAGTTCACTGAGACTTTTCAAATCAAGCACTGAATGTGAGGCTTAAAATAATTTGCTCATGATCTTAATTTTGCAGTGCTTGATCTATCTTTTAACAGTCACTGATAAGTGTAAAGCCACCAAAATCTTGCCAGCTCCTCACTGTTTCTCAATGTAAGTCAAAGATGGTATTCTCCTCTTACTGTTTACACATTCCATCCACGTTAACCATCCCCTTTTTGATGCCCCAATAAAATGAAATTATACATATTGAACAATGTATATTCAAATTGATGGCAATTGATCACAATAAGAATGGGAACACAGTTGCAATATTATTAATCCAAACAGAAATGTGACATCTAATGATGGAAACTTTGTTCTCTCTCTTTCTGGAACATTTTTGTACCTGATGCAAAAAAAAAAAAAGACTGTTTAAAAATAAATGCATACTTTGCCCTACAGTTATTTTGTATTAGTCTTGATAAATAATTAATTAATGCATAATATATTATTTAGATGAATAGTTTTAAGAACTTGAGTGGTATTTCAACTACAATTATAGTAATTTATTTATCAGTGAAAAATTTACATAATCACACTTCAAAATCCAGTGGACTGGAGAGATATCAGAAAGACACCCAGGAATGTGCCTAACGATTTTGGGCATTAGATTAACTTAACAATGTAGCGATGTGCAAGATAGCTAGCATCGCTATATTTCAAGAATTATTTTTAAATGATGAATATGCAAATACTGTTTCTCTTTTTAGTCTTATTTTATGAAAAGGCAACTTTTACATACAGAATAGGAAGTAGAATTGTCTATATGAAATAAAATATGATTCCTACTAGAGTGGGAGTGAATTTAAACATAAATTACAATCAAATCCTGAAGTTTCTCTTTGTCAACTATCAGAGGGAATATTAAACATATTAGTACAGTGCCATCATACAACGCCGTATGATTCTTTAAAGTTACTGTGAGCTGTCCCACTGGCCACCAGTGTTGAAGAACAGCACAGGGAAAAAATACAAGTTTTCTGTCTCACCAGTGCAGACGGACTGGTGGCAGAGTAACTCATGCCAGTTAACTGACACACTGCACATCTTCCAAGAAGCCCCTCTCAGGCAAATGGGGCAAAGCACACAGCTTCTATGGGGCACAGTCTGCTCACTTGATGGCAATGCACATGCCACTGGTCATCAAGATTTAAATGCATAGCCACAATGTTTGTGTAAACACAAACAAGTTGGACTATTCCAATTGTGCCCATGTAAATGCTGCTGAAGTAACAAGAGGATCTAAGTTGCTGTTATAGGAGTCCAATTTACTCGAGAATTATGGGCACTTAGAGGGAAACATAAAAATAACATTCATTATAAAACTAATTATAAAACTAATATTTCCCAGCAATACACTTACACATACTTGTAAATATGGGTACCTCAGAAAACCCTCACTACTCTACAGAGCAGTACTCAGCTGGGCCTATATAATGTAGCCAATAGCAGCCAACTATAAACATAGAGAAGGAGGTTTTGCTGCTGTTTTGAAGGAAGTATTTAATGCAGAAAAGGCAGCAAAGAATTAGCTCAGGCCATATCGTCATGAGGTTGTACTTTTCTATGTACCTACAGAGAATTGTGAGATGCCACACCACAATTAATTTTTGAGACAAAGAGCTTAAAACAATAATTTGTGATTGATATAATTTTATGTTTTCTGATATAACACAACAGTTACACCTGAGCCAGACAGGTAAGAAAGAACTGCACTTATGCTTTCTATCCTTGCTGTGTAGGCTTTCCACTACAGACTCCACCTGCCTCGTACAAAGCTACTGTGTTAGATTCTAGTAACATCAACTTTTCTCTGTTATTCTCAGGATTATACTACCTTATAGCACCCCCAAATCTTCCTTCCTAAAGACAACATTCCAAACGGCAAAGAATGTGCAGCATTTCTTATGTTGTGTCCCTTTCAGAGGGCTCGCCAGCACGATACCCATCAGGTTTTACTAGCTGCTGCTGAACAAGCTGGCAACAAAGCACCTGCACCTGGAGGAACACGATTGTTTGTGCCCTGAACTCAGCGCACTCCGTGATTATCTGTCGTTTAAAACCAAAACCTTTCAGAAATACCTCTCTTCTGTGCAGCCCAGGTGGGAAAAAAAAAAAATAAGTCAAAGGTGAGAAAGGTTGGAGGTGCGCGGTGTCATTAGCTGCGCTCAGCTGGAGTCTTCCCTAATCCCGTCTGGGACTTACAAGAAGTTTAAACGCCCGTACACGATGTCATTAGCTGCCTTTGGCCGCCCCTCACAGCCCTCCTCCCCAACACCGTCTGCCCCGCGAGGCGCGCTCCGCCCGCCAGCGGCTCCTCAGGAGGGCAGCAGCCCGCGCGGGCACTGCCCCTGGCCGCCACCAGCACCCATCCTGCCCCGCCGGGCGCGGCGGTCTCCCGAGAAACGCCAATCACTGGACGGGAGGGGAAAAGGGGCGTGGCAAATGGCCGCGGCCGCTCCCGGCGGGCCCCGCGGCCCCGCGGCAGCCATCTTGGCGGGGCAGCGGGCGTGGGGGTGGGGCTGCGGGTGGTTCTCGGCTCCCGGCAACGACGCGTGTGTGGGGCTGTGGTGTTGGGCTGCCCACACCGTGCATCGTGCCGTGTGTTAGAGGAAGAGCTTCGAGAACAGAATGGACTGCCGGGCGACCAGGCTCCCGTGCACCCCAGAGTGCACAATCCATGACTGCAGTGCACATTTTCGACACCAAAACAAACTTTTGGAACCGGTGTGCCATTTTCTAGAGCCGTTGGGGTCGGGAGAACAACTCTGCCCTGCTGGGCCGCTCGGCTTGGAGCTGTGCTGGTGTCTGTCCATCTGTCTGTCCACACAGCACCACCTAGATGGCCTGCCTGCACTCATGCTGTGCTTTCAAGCAGGGCGCAGGCGATCGTGTTTAAGACAGGCACTCTAATAAGCCATGCCTAAGTCCTTTTTTGCATTGTGTGCTCTGCCAGTAGTGTGAATCCCTAGCAGAGCACCATCACCAAGGTGAGGGGGACGTAGTGAAAGCAGAGGGAACTGGAAGCATTTCTTCGGTACCTGGGTCCACACTGAGAGGCACTGACAGATTCCGCTGACACCTGGGGATTCACTTTGTGAACGTCAGCCTTATTTCTTCTAAATACTCAAAAGGAGATCTTTCCCTACACCCAACTCAGAAGAAGCGATCCATGTAGTATGGAGTGCATTTATTACCATTTTGTCAGTCCCAGGCTGGCGAGCTGCACTAGTTGCAGAAGACAAACTTGTTTACACGGTTGGTTTTCTTAATTACACAAGAAGCAGTTTTGTCACTTCTCAGGAAGCAATTAGTCAGCTCTGCATGCTGAAGTCGAGTTTCCTCATAAGAAATTTAAAATATTTATCTGGCTAGAATAACCGGTAAATTAGCTCATTGTTTTTCATCACTTCTTTTTGTATTTCGTGCACTGTGAGTCGTAGCAATGATATTAGTTCTGGTGTGGGAAAATATTATAATTGAGATCTGGTAAATTATTTGCAGACTTCAAGTTTTTCTTTACACTGTGATGACATTTAGTATGGCCCCAGTGAGGAAAACAATGCTGCCATTCATGGCTCTAGACGTAGATTTCAATCGACTTAAGCGGGCACAATGAAACTTGGTCATTCACTGGTTACCCATATTGTGTTCTCAAATTTTCTCTCAGCAAAAGTATAATGACCCAGTATTGTGCTGTTGCATAGACAAGGGCTCGGAACAAGAGACGCTAGTTTTGTCTGACGGTGTGAGAAAGTCGTGAAGGGATCTTTTCTTCCAGATGGTGTTAAATTCAGCTGCCTTTTTAACATTGGCCTTGCACAGCAATCTGCTGCTCCCTTTTCACAGAGAATAAGCCCCGGTCCCTGCTAGTTAACATGCATACTCACGCAACCTGCAACTTCACTCCAACTGTTTTACAATGCACTGGTATGCTAAATAAACTTGATCTGGACTCTCTCGGTGCTAAAACTAGTCTTCAAAGGACTGCTGGACTGATATTTACACCTTTTTTAATATATTATTTTAATTACTTTTTTTTTATTATTATTTCCCTTAAATGTGAAGCTGTATATCGTTTGACCCCCCCTCCCCCCCTCCTTCCCACCCCCCTCCGCCAGTTTTAAGGAAACAGCACTTTACAAATAGATGATCCTATAAAACATTATTTGCTGTGTGAGGCAATTTAAGCACGCCACCACGTTTCCACGTGCAAAGTTAGATGCACGGGACAAAAGGGGCACAAACAGGCCATTTTGCTTCTAAAGCAGCGAAGGAGTAACGATAATAATAGCGATAACAGCCAAATGCTTTTTATTGAGCGGTAGTCACGTAACAGGATGACAGCAAGTTGGTATGACAGTGGCCAGCATACGAGTGCAATGTTGATATTTTTCTCTGGTGTTTTCCTCCCTAGATTTACACCGAAGACCGGGACGCCAGGGAAAGCCCGAATCAATTGGCTCTGCCAAATGGCTAAGCAAACAGTGGGCTTCCCCAGGAAAACAGCGTATTGCCTTAATTGAAGCTCTTTGAGAAAGAAAGCCTTCGTACTTTGTAATGTAAATGTTAAGGGTAGTAAACAATGGGGCTAGGTAAATAGCTCCCCTGGACACGGCGTGAATGGGAGGCGTGCGGGCCGCTCGCTGAAAGCCCGGGCGGTGTCAATAAACGGGGTCCGCTCGGCGCTGCGGTACGGCCCCGGCACGCGCGGCGCGGGGTCTGCGCCAAGAGCCCGGCGGAGCCCTGCGGGAAGGAAGCCCCGGGGCCTGAAAGTCCCGCGCTAAGGGCAGAGTGAGGAAAGTTCTATCTTAAATCCGCAGCTCTAAACCCGCCTGCGGGCCTTCCCCTCCGAGCGAGCAACTAGCGTTGTATGGCCTGATCTCATTCCAACAAGGATTTGTGTGACCGCTCCTCGTGCGCGGTGGCCCTTCAACTGGTGCAGCCCTCCGAGCCCCGCTCTCATTTCCCTGACTGATCAGCCCTGCGGACGTTCGGTTTCTCACTTAACGCGCGTCTGGGAAGAGATTTAGGTCAAGTCCAAAGGAAAACGGTACCCTTCAAAAATTACTTCCGCTCGATTGCTGCGATAATTACAAGGACCTACAGCGCCCCAACTCGTGCTCATTACCCCACCTCTTCCTTCTTGCTCTGCCATTCACCCACCGCCATCTGCACCCCTCCGCGCCCCTCGCCCCCCGCGGAAGTTCCGCGCTTCCCCGCGACCTCCTCCCCGCAGCGCTGTCCGTCACCGACCGCCAGGGCACAGCGCTGCCACTTGCCCCGAGCGTGGGAACGGGAGCGCCCAGCCGTTCACAGCTCCTGCGCGCCGGTTAACGGAATCAATTAGGCAGGACAGACCCTCGGCCGCCCCGCCCCGCCCCTTCCCTCCTCCCCCCCCCTTCTGTTTTGTCAGGTCTATATACGTCCTAATTATTTCGGGTTGGGATGCCAGAGCTGTTTCCCGGATAGATCTGATCATCCTTAAACAAAAAGAGAGGAGGCGCACACGTGGGTTGGGAGTAAATGTCATTTTCATTTCCATTGCTGGGCGCAGAGTAAGACACAGAACATTTTTTAACACTTTGACAAGGGGGGAGGCGATCTCGTCTCCATCATGTCTTTCTGCTTCAGTAGCTTCCTCAAGGAAACCCTCTCGGAACAGAGAAGCATCTGTGCTGGCATTTAGAATAGAAGAATAAAAATCGGCCATCTCTTTTTTCATCTTTGTGCAGCTCCACCGCGTTCTTGCTAGGTATAAATTATTAAGCTCGCCTACACTGCAGCACAAACTTTCTGAAAGTGCGAACAGACCCCAGTGCTTTGTCTTGGATGCATGCAGACAGGTCTGGGGTTGTTTTCCTCCCTGCTCAGTCCACACAGTACCATCACCACCACTGTCGCCTTCATCACCACCAGCTGCTGGAATATTTCTGAGGCTGTCTCACTGCAATGCATCGTTCTGGAAAATGAAGCTCAGCATTTCCAAACATCTTTCTAATATATATGTATACATAGATGTGTGTGTATACGTGTCTTCTCAACTAAGCATTTACTGGCCTGGGTCCTTGTTTTTCCATTTGTGCAAGGTCAGCAGTCACACAAGCATTGTTTTCCACCAGCAGCCATCCGTCCCGTGACATCTGACAGCTCCACATTTTGGGATAAGTGATAAGCATGCCATGTAGCATCCTCCGCTCCCACCTCCAGCTGTAAAAGCATTCGGTGCAATGAGCATTCTCAGCCTGTCTTGGGTTTTACTGTCTCTTGCAGCAGTCTCTCATTTTCACACGCTGTAGCGATGATCTTGAAGGAGTTTTTACTTTCGGTTATCTAGCTTTATGAAGACCAAAACACTCATACAGCTAGATAACCAAAGATAACAACTCGCTTCCCTCAAAGCTTTATTATTAATAATAATAATAATAATAATTTTCCTTGCTAGAATCCAGATTCTCCCTGGCAAACAGCCATGCTGTCTCCTCCAGGAGCACCAGTCCTGCTTTAAAATTCCATCCTTTCATGCAGCTGTGCCCTGGTTTGTGTGTCTTGTCTGTGTGTGCAGCCAGTAACATCCAAAGGAGATCCATCACCTTTGAAGTTTATTCCCAACTTTTCCTTCTAGCCAGTGATTTCTGACAATGTAACCCAAGATCCGTCTGCTGCCCCCAGAAAACAACATCAATGATGAAGATGCGTTGGCTGAGTTAGGAGCGAGAAGCATCCATCCCACTGCAGGCCTCTCTGTGTGTTGTAAGTCGCTCCACTCTCACAAAAGTCTCCTTAGCCTCTTTGAAGATGTAAAGCCATCAGCAATTTCCAGCACTGTGTAAGGAAGCCAAAAAAAAAAAAAAAAAAAAAAGATTCCCATTTCGGTAGAAAGTGACGTGAGGATGCGGCTTCTGATCCCTTATGCATGACAGAGAGCTTTTGGCCAAATGGTGGCAGCTCGGTGGCAAATATCTTACATGCGTGCGTGTTTTGGGGGGGAGCTCCTTGCTTTCCCGGGGCTGGGGAGGAGAAGGCGCGTTCCGGCCGGCGTGCTGCTGCCCCCGGCCTGAAAGAAGGAGAAAAGGGCCATCATTGGAGATCTGCCGGTGCCACGGCGCGGGCCGGCCCGGCGAGGTCAGAGGTCCTGGACCGCGGGAGAGCAAGGTAATGATGATGTCATGAGAAACCTCGAGCACACGCGGCCGAGACGCGGCGGCCGCCGAGCGGAGCGCGGCCTCCGCCAGCCCCGGCCTCCGGCGCAGCCTCCGCCACCGCCCCGACCGCGGGCAGCGTCGCCGCCGCCGCCGCCGCCGTGCCTTCCTGCGGGGCGGAAGATCTGCCCCTGCGGGCAGGGGAAGGCGCTCTCGGGGCCGGGG